AATGCTTTTTGTGTAGTGTTTAAGAAACCCTTTTCTTACTCAGGATCTTAAAATTTTTCTCTTATATTGTCTTCTAAATCCTTTATATGTTGTGCTTCTGGTCAAGATGGTGGACTAGATGGTCCCCAGCATCACTCTCTCCCACAAATCAACCAATTTATAACTATAAAAATGCAACAACAGCCAAGCTGGGGCTGCTAGAGCTCAGGGGAAGAGGAGGAGAGACATACGGAGTTCATGAAGGCAGGAGAAGCCATGATGAGAGAAAGAAAAAATGGCTTGGAGCATTTTGGGCCATGGCCGCTTTAAGGCTGGAGCTGCTGAGTGCATGGAGCAGGAGCCAGCAGAATCTGCAGCTGTGTCCTTTGGATGGAATTGCTTGGAAGTGGCAGGGGAGAAGGGGACCTTGGTGGGCCCCAGGACAGCAAGATCACTAATAGGGTTCCCGTGGATCCACACAGCAGTGAGGAGCCAGAACAACTGAAAAAAAGGAGCCTTTCAGAGACTGGTGAGTCATCGCAAGGGACAGGCACACAGCCTGTCCCATGGGAAGTGTTTGGAGCATGGGCAGTGGGGGAGATGGGCCCACCAGGAGATCACTGGGACACAGCAAGGGGAGCCAATCTGCCCCTCAATCAGCGCAGGACCACTCAGAAGAGACTGGTCAGGAATTGCATGGGGTGCAGTTTGATTAAAAGGTTCAGGCCCAGATCAGAGTTTCTACACAGCCCAGGTGCACCAGGTCTCTGGAGAGTCAGAAATACCTATAAGGCCAACCATTAAACCCTGAGCTGCACAAAAAGCCTTCCCTAGGGAAACTGCAGCAAAGCAGCAATTTAACTCAATCACACAGCTCAAGTACTGGTTCCCACAGGAAATGCCCCCATTTTAGAAGTAAGCAAAGAACAAAAAATTAGTTCCAGCCCAGGCACACCACCAGCATCTTGGGGACCGCCAGGGGACCTGAGGCATGCAGCAGGAACCAGACCACCACCACCCCTCTGCTGCCTTCAACCAGGCACACTGCCAGCACCA